TGGAACAGGTTGCCCAAGGAGGTTGTGGATGCCCCACGCCTAGAGGCATTCAAGACCAGGCTGGATGTGGCTCTGGGCAGCCTGGTCTGCTGGTTGGCGAGCCTGCACATAGGAAGGGGGTTGAAACTCGATGATCATTGTGGTCATTTTCAACCCGAGCCATTCTATGATTCTATGATTCTATGATTCTATGATTCTATGATTCTATGATTCTATGATTCTATGATTCTATGATTCTATGATTCTATGATTCTATGATTCTATGATTCTATGATTCTATGATTCTATGATTCTATGATTCTGTGAGTCTATGATTCTGTTATTCTGTGATCCGGGCATAGCGGGGGTGACAAGGCTCAGCCGCGTTGCGCTCCCCGACCATTTCGTCCCGTCTGGGCTCTCGCCTGTCCCTGTCGCTGGGGACGCTGCAAGAGGGCAGGTGGTTTCCCTGCTGCCGATGGAGCTTCCCCAGCCGTTCCTCAGCTCTCCGCCTACACCGAAGTACCCGGGCTACCCCGCAGGACACGCTACCCGCGCATATGCGCCCGGCACTCGCAGCCCAGAGTAAGCCCGAGTGACGCCGGCGCAGGGCGCAGCCCCTCCGGGGAGGAGCTGGCGGCGGCGGCGGCGGGGAGGAGGTGCCACGGGCGGAGCAGAGCCGAGGGTGGCGGGGGCAGCGCGGCGCGGCGCGGCGCGGTGGGGGAGCGGCGGAGCGGCGAGATGCGGCAGTGCCGGGCCGCGGGGCTGGCCGCGGTGCTCCTGGGTGCGCGGGGCTGGACTGCAGGAGCTTCTTTCCGACAAGACTCGCCTCTCTTTAGTCCCGGCTGCGATCAGCCCGGCTGCCTTTAGAGAGCTCAGTTCACTCTTCCCTGCTATCTGGACGTTCTCTCTGCTCTCCTTTAAAAATCTCTCTCCTCACTGCTGCATGCCGCACAGCTTTTGCTCTCACTCCTATCTCCTTCTGTTTTGGGCTGTGCTTCCAAATATCCCAGTACAGATTTGGGTTTTTTTGGTTTTTTTGTTTTTTGGTGTTTTTTTTTTGACCCCAGACAACTGGTTAGTGAGACTTTATGTCTTCTCAGAAAGTGTTCGTCTCCTCTGTGAACAGTTTTGGTGGCTGTTTTTCTCACCTGCAATACATTTCTGGTGTAGCAAAGGAATTTTCTGAGTTTGCTGCTTCTTTTCTTCTCAGCAGTGGCTGTGAGCAGAGCTCAGGTGCAGCAGGAGCCGGCGGCAGAGACAACTGAGGACACCGGCATCAACATCACCTGCTCACACCCCAGCATACAGTCCGAAAAGTACATCCACTGGTACCGCCAGCTCCAGGGCCGAGGACCCGCATTCCTCGTCAGCGCCGTTAAAGGCTCCAAGGAGGTGCCGGACCCGGAGGGGCAGGTGTCGGTGTCGGCAGATCGCCGCTCCAGCGCCCTGTGGCTCGCCCGGCCCCGGCTCGGCGACGCGGCCGTGTATTACTGCGCCGTGGACCCACGGGAAGCGAAGCCGGGGCTGCGGCCGGGCACGAACCGTTTTGGGCGGGGCGGGGGCACAGTGCCGTCCGGGCCCGAAGGGGGCGCTGCCTGCATGGCCGCCAAACTCCATCCTGACCAGGGTGCACCTCCCTGAGTTCTCGAGAAAAATGAGCACGGCACACACAGCAGCCATTGACTGAAGCCAATGTGAGTCAGGCGCAGCTGGGTCTGTGTCAGGACTGCACACCATGTGAGTGTGGGGAACAGCAGGACTGACTGCAAGGGCTGTGTTTGACACCCGAGGGACATTCTCACAATTCTATTCCATCTTCTATCCTCTCCTCCTTCCCCAGTGCAGCACATATAAGAACCTGGAAGGAGAGGGGCCTAAAACCAGAACATCAGCAATGTGCTAAGTGAGAAAACTAATTGAGGAAATTTCCTAGTGGAATGCAAGGTAACACAATACATTATCATTGGAATGGAAGTGAATAAATCAAATAAATGAAAGAAAGAGAGTGCCCATAAACAAAAGGCCTTTCTCTAATGCTGAAGGGGAGATGGCTAGGGTGCACACACCACAGAGGTGACCAGAAAGACAACATTCCATGAGTCCCAAGCAGTTTTATTTTTACCTCTGAATGGATAACTGAAACGCAGTGGTGAAGTC